TATTCAGAGCCATCCCCAGGCTATGGCGGGTTCTCACAGTTCCCACAAAACTTGCAATCGATACGATGCAAATAAATCTTTTGTTTGCACAAATTGTTGTACTTTCTCAAGAAGTCGCTTCATTGAGCATCAGCATCAGCATCAGCATTAGTGTTAGAAGATGAAGATGAAAGTCGAAGCAGTAAATCATACATGATATAATGCTGTATAAGAACAAACAGGATATGCGCCTTGCATTTCGATTTTGTGGCTCACAAAATTCACTTTGCATTTACCGCATTCAATGTTTTTCGAGAAACTAGCGGCAGGTCTTTGGGGTTCGGGGTTTGGGGGAAGTTCAAAGGTGAATTAATTTTAGATATTGTTTGTTTAAAGTATGACAGATCTATTATCTTTACAAAAGTGCTGAATGGCTTCAATTTGTTGCTCCTAGATTTATGAAATTTAATTCGAATATTATCTGCAACTGCAATCGAATTCAAATGTGGAAGTCACCTCTAAAAAGAGATTTAACTAAAACGAAAGTAACAAAACAACTAAGAAGCTTATCTCATCCATTCAGGATCCTACAACAGCTTATGCTGATGAGCAGCATGTAGCAGAAGTGTTTTTTAAATAACCATCATCTTTAGGAACGCTAGGTAAGGTCTGAGGTCATTATGGTATCCTCCTGAAATATTATTTTATTTGCCCGACTTTTTGAAGTTGATTTTGATTGATCATCGCTTCTCCGTCAGACCGTAACTATTTAAGGTTCAATGATGATTTTTTTAGGTAGAACAACTGCATGGGAATGAAGGAACTATAGCCCGAATTATTCTCTCTGTGACAGGACACTGCCAGATCGGTAAGCTCAACAGATTTTTAATACCAAACTTAATGGGTGAAAATAAAAATAATAGCAGAAATAATAATTATTATAATCGTCTAACTTGACATGTTTGCGAGCGCTGCATTAATGAGATTTCAACCCCAGCTGGGAAAAAAGGTCTAACAGCTACCTAGCACTGCGAGTCTACCTTTTTACCTTTACCTTTTCTTTCACCTTCCCATTTGCACTATCAAATTAATTTGAGGCACATAACTAGTTGAAATTATAGCAGGGCATGCAGACCCACACCCAACCTCGAAGTAAATATGTGATCCTCAATCGCCGCAGTGTGTTTGTATTTGTGAATGCGTGTGTGTGTGTGTGTGAATCAAGGGTTGCTGCTCGCCCTAAGCTAAAAATCTGACAAAAAGTTTTTAATACCAACGCCATGACTGAGTTTATTTATTTATTTATTATTATAATTTTAATGCTAGTGCCCAAAAAGCTGCCACTACTTGACTCAATGCATTAGCATAAAGCACGTTATATCTGGCATATTGTCGATGTGCACATACTCGTACATACATATGTTATATACCCGTGTATGTAGTATGTATGTGGAATACATAAAGGCAAAGTGGGACGCAACCAAGTCAAAGCATACTCAATAACAAAGCACGCCGCTGCGTTCCACACTCACACAGCAAGGCGCAGAGACAGCAAGAGAGAGACGCAGGCGCACAAACAACTGTTGACTCCTTTGTGGGCAAAAAGGACCTACACACAAAGCAGGCGACGCGTCGGGTAAACCGGTAGTCGAGCCCAAGTCGAGTAATACAACAGCCTCGTAGCTCGCAGCTCGCAGCTCGTAGTGTTTCCTTGAACTTTTCAAGTGAACTCAAGTTTATAATTTCCACAGCAAGTACTCACACATGCACACCAAGAGCACCAGAAAGACAGGCAAGGACAGAGCCAGGGGCCGGGGGCCAGGAGCCAGGAGCTGGAGCACAAAGGACTCACAGCAGCAGTGCCTGATCAACTGTTCAGGTCTATGTGAATGTACCTGGCTGGCTCTGGCTCTGGTTGCGCGCCGTCGAAACTAAACTTGCATGCCCAAAAAATTACTGTAGCATGACTTGAGTGGTAGATCCGACTGCGGTGGCCTGTAGACTTGCCAAGCCGATTGCTGCCCAACCACCCGACCAACCATCCAACTGCCAACCAACTAACCGACCACCCCACCAACCAACCGATCATCCGTCGTCTGCTCACCAATGGGCCCTATTTCAAACTTGTTTCCGCTGTCAACACATGCACCGTTGTTCTCGCATAGTCTTAAGCTTGCCAGCATTCCCGAATTATTTTCCCACCATCCGAAGGACCAAGCCAAACCAAACCGGCCTTCCTACCCTAATTGCCCCGACCAATGTGCAACAACAGCAGCATCCTTAATGTTATCTTGTCAATTTTAATTAGGATTTATAGGCATTTATTGCCATACAAATTCCAGTGAGTTTTCTTTAAGATCTATCCCCCGAACCATTTTTTAATTAGTGCAACAATTGTCGAATGATTTTGCACAACAGTGCATAGAAATAAAGCAAAATCCTGCCATGCCCAGGACAAATGTGCCGTTAATAAGAATTATGGTCCTGCACAAGCCCCCCAACCACTAAAGTCTCAGAGGCGGGGCCGCTCAGAAGAAACTTAAATTAGACAAAGAATGTGACAATTTTGAAATGTTAGGCGTTAACAGTTAAGAATTTTCATACATAATCCCAGATCAAAGATCACAAAAAGCTATGTGCCATTGAGCAGCTGAAGGAGCTCTTGAGAAAAGTGCTTCTTATTAAAAACAACAATGTTATGTGCACCCGACTCTTAAATACCCTGCATTTATATATTATTTTTTAATTACATTTTAATAACTTTAAAAAATTTAAATTAAATCAACAACAAACATAACATGGACACATAATACATTTACGACTACAACTTAATTTCGAAGATGTTATTTCCAGGGACCGCAAATAATGATTATTTTGTTTTTTTTTTAAATCCAAAAAATCATTTACTTATAAGCAGTAAGTGAGAAACCGAGGAGTTTACAGGTATTATTTTTTAAGGATTATCTATGCATTTTCACTATGATTTATAAATTTTAATATTTATCCAATCGCTCACAATTTAATGATTAATTTTGAGTTTTACTTTAAAAACTAACCAATAATCAATATTGATGAGGAAAAAAATAAAACATATAAAATAATGATTATTTTGATCAAAAATAAAACTCAAGCTGTCATTTTGTCTTTTTCATAAGGATTAAGGACAAAATTAATACAAATAGAGCAACATGGCTATAAACATATCTATATATCTCGTCATGCTGATCAAAAATGTGAATATTTTCTTTTTGGCCCTTTTATGTTTTGAGCACAGGGTATCAAGCTTGTATATAAAAAGGAGAAATTACAATATAAATATGAGATAAAGCTTAAAGGCCTAACTGAAAGTCGTGACATAAAATCACAAAATTAAAGAGAAACCTCATATAATATTTTTCCTTTAAGTAAAATACCAAATATAGATTATAAGTGTAGTACAAAATATTATAACAATTTTTCCTAAAATGTTTGTAATATAAGACAGTGTGATGCTTTAAAAGTTTAAGGTACAGAGTTCATAATTTCTCCTACCTGCTGTTCCACTCTTTCACTTAATCAAATCCCTTATAAATATATATTCAATAGAAAAGTTTTTTTATTCCAGTAGTCTATATATATTTTGTAGTAATGCAATTGTGTTCATCAAACTTCCCACAACATTCCTTGACATCAAGTGTCACTTCTGCTCGTAAATATGTTCCAGAACTTTCTCAGCACCCACCCATAAAATACCATATGTCCTTATAATTTCAATGCCCCACCCCTGACAAGTTTTATGGGCAACTTTACGCGCTAGCCGGTGGCGGTGGCGTCTACAAAAAATATGCAAAACAGACTGGAACAGGCCGAACTATCCGTTACCAACGTGGCCATAAGGTGATCGTGATCTATGAGCACATATATGTACATATGTGGGAACTAAGCTGCTCTATATGAAGGAATCGACCTTTTTCCATATACTGCTACATACTTGTATATACGTTTGAATATGTCGTAGCTATAGGGCTGACCAGGGCTGCCAAAGCTTGGCCAGGCGGCATGCATTTTGGTTTATGTATTTATGGGCGGTACTTGTATATAAACACGCGGAACGTTGTTGCCATGAGTAGCTTGTATAGTATATACACGTACATACATACATCCAAGTATATAGCTAGCTATATTTAAACTTGATGTGGCGCGCAAAGGCGAAACCACCCCTAGAAAGCCGCAGTCGGCTGAGGCGCAGGCGCAGACGCAGACGCTAACGTTGTTGCCCGATCAGATGTTAGTTTTCCCAAAGAGCCAACAAAAAAAAAAAAAAAGAAAAAAAAGTGAGTGAGTGACTGACTGACTGGCTGAATGGAATGCCTGAGCCGTAGCTGAGGTGTGTGAGTGTGGGTTGTTGTTGTTAGTGTTGTTGTTGTTGCTGTTGCCGGCACGAATGCATTAAGCATTAAGCAAGAGGAGGCAGCAACGGACACCCAATATCTAGGGGATGAAAAGTCATATCTATGTGTGTATGTGCGCGTGTGTGAGTGCGTGTGTGTGTGTGTGTGAAATAAATGCCGTTTGTTGTTATTTTCATTTCATTATGTGTTTTACATAAGCGGCAGCGCTGGCGCTGGCGCAGTCGCAGCCGCCGCAAGGATACGTTATATTTTTCCATTGTGTACGCCATCAGTCAACGAAGTCATTTCCGTCGATGTTGCTGCCACTGTCACTACCACTGCCAGAGCCACTGCCAGAGCCACTGCCACTGCCACTGCCGCTGCCGCTGTCGCTGCCACCACTGACGTCGCTGACGCCCCATGACATTTTGTGCTGCCAGTTTTAGGGCACGCGACACAGAACGCAAGCAGCTGTCCTGCCGTAAGGACCTATATTAAACGCAGCACATAACTAAACCATTACAGAGCTCAGAAACTGAGGAGTTCCAGTTCCAGAGGTTCTGCACCATTCGCTTACACCTCGTAGTCTTGAAGCGTGCGTTGAACGCGCTGGTCGCTGAGCAACTCCCCATTAGCTTCGAGAGCTTTCCCATGGCTGCCACACTTAGCTATAGTCTAACGCCAACGCCTACAACCACAACCACAATTACACAACTAAGCCAATCGAGCCAAAACGGTTCAGCCCACAAGGCGCCGCGCGCCATGAAGGAGAACTTTAATGTCCATGCGACTGTGACGCCCCTCAGTGCTCCCCTAAATGGGGCGCAGAGCAAAGCTTTTGGCAAGATAATCGTCCATAATGTGCTCAGTGAGAGCAATACGAATGCCTTGCATTTGGCAACCACTGGATCGAACACCATTATTCGCAAAATCAAGGATTTCGGCATGTTGGGTGCAGTTAATAATGCAACGGCAACGACAGCAGCGATATCGGCAAGCCGGCTCACTCTCAATCGGAAGCGTCCTCTGGGCGAATCGAAGTCGGTGAATGAGTTGAATAAAGGGCCACCACCCACCAGCACTGCAGCTTCCGCTTCGGCCACCAAAAAGAGCAAACTTCAGCAGCCGAAGGCAGCCAAGAAGCAAGAGAAGCAGCCACCGGCGGAGAAATTGTCAACCAAACCATCACTCAAGGCTGCGGCTTCACTCAAAACCCCACTAGATGCAACAACGGTGGCTGTCAAGCCCGCGGGAACACCCGGGCGTAAAGGTCTGCCCCTGCCCCAAGCTGTGGCGCGTCGGAACGCCCGGGAACGAAATCGCGTCAAACAGGTGAACAATGGATTTGCTGCCCTACGTGAACGCATACCCGAGGAGGTCTCCGAGGCTTTTGAGGCACAGGGAGCGGGTCGTGGCGCTAGCAAGAAGCTCTCCAAAGTGGAAACATTGCGCATGGCTGTGGAATACATACGGAGTCTGGAGCGTTTGCTGGGCTTCGATTTTCCACCTATGGGCTGTCATTCGACGAGCTCGTCCAGTGGAGAGGATAGCTTCATGTTTATCAAGGATGAATTCGATGGACTCGACGATCATTTCGATGATTCCCTAAGCAATTACGAACTGGACGAATCGGCAACAGCGCAACTATTAGACAGACACGCCACCAAGGCACCCAACTCACAGCTCTCACCCACACCAAGTGCCATTGATGCACATGAACGTGAACATGAACAAGAACAGGAACAGGAACGGGAGCGAGAACGGGAACGGGAACGAGAGCAAAGAGATCTGGATTTGGAGCAACTGTTGCCGAGCATAACCATGTTAAATGGCCTGCAATATGTACGCATTCCTGGCACAAACACATATCAGCTATTGACGCCCGATATTATGTTGGGCTCGCCGCCAAGCTCCAGTGTGGATGAGGAGCATTTTAATGCCTTAATTGACACAAATTGCCTGAGCAACGGCAGCGGCAGCGGCAGCACCACCACCACTAACAACAACAACAACAACAACAGCTCCCCCAATACCATTCGAGGTGATGTCACAGCTGATCTGCATAGGACGACGGGCACATCGTTGAAGGCACCTGCAGCTGCCGCCAGCAACGGTGAATGTGTAAAATTTGTGCCAGCATTATCGCGATCGCCCGTGCCACAAGCGGCAGCAGCAGCAGAAGTAGCGACGGCAACAGCGACACCGACAGTAACAACAGCCACACCAACAACATCCCCATTGAGCAGTTCATCATTGAATCAAGCGGCAAGGACTGTCGGAGTTTCACCTGTCGCCGCCGCTAATGAACTCTTATTGCAGACGTGTGCCGCAGCCGTATTGTTGCAACAACAACAACAGCAGCAGCACCAACACCAGCAGCAGCAGCAGCAGCAACAACAACACCAGCAGCAACAACTACTTGGCCTGCACGCCGCATCCAGTTTGATTAAACAGGAATACTGCGAGGGCGATTTTATGCACCTCAACTCAACGCCCGCCAACAAGACGCTTAGCTATCAGCAGCAGCAGCAGCAACAACAACAACAACAGCAACAGCAACAAATACTGTGCTCACCGGTGCTGCCCGCCTTCTATGACAACGAGCCCACATCCTTTTATGATAATGTGGTCGTTGGTCTGCCCAGTTTCAAAAAGGAGTTCAGCGATGTCCTTATGGACAACTCCACGGCTACAACCACCGGCACAGGTGGTGGTCTATCCGATGAGAGCATGATCGATGCCATTGATTGGTGGGAGGCACACACGCCCAAATCCGATGCTGGCTGTGGCAACGATTCATCAGCGGTGCTCATGTGAGCTTCATAAAATACCAAAAAAAAATACAAATAATATTAATAACGTTGAAGAAAAACACGAATACAAAATATAGCCAAAAGGGGCGCGAACAGTCAGCTGCAGTTTAGGCCATATAGAACCCATAACTGCTTCATATAGTTAGGCTTATATACTACGTTACATTAGTTGAGACAGTCAGTCCTGTACATAAACTTGCTCTTTGTAGTCATCTAGTGATATACGCATATGTACTATATATATGCATATATATATATATATATATATATATATATATATATATATATATGAATATGAAAAACTTTCACACGAAACAAAAACAGACTTTAAAAAAAATAATAATAACGTTGAGTAGATCTTAAATTATTTGCCCTTTTTTTGCCTAACCTAAGGATATAATTTTTTTTCATAGTCCTAAGCATATTTTTAATGACGTTGGTTTGAGTTTGAAAAAAGAAAAATGAAAAATAAAACTAGAAAAACTTTTTAAAAATATGTTTGCAATTTTATTTTATAAATATATATAAATAAATAAATATACATATATATTTTTTGTCTATTCCAGCAAATCGAAGATTTCAATTTGTTTCCCTCAATTTATAGAATAAAGAAAACTATTCACAGATAAAACAAGGAACACTGATCCTCTTTCAGTTCCGTTTACTGATGTTTAATAATGCAAAATATATTTCGATTGCGATTTAGAGCAATTGCAGAGAAATTCGACTGCTTAGAGCATGGTTGATGTTTATTTGATGATCATAATACCAATAGTTTCCAATCGGGGAGCGCCCTAATCAAGTGTCAGAATTTTGAATTATTTTTCAGACAAATCTATGACGATTTAAAGCTTGGAGAGAAGAGCTGCAGAAAGTTTGCTAGTTGAGGATGTTTTCCCATATGTTGCAACGGTTTGTTTTTTCTCAACTGCTAATGACAATCAAACATGCACAGTCATTACACACACACACACACACACACACACACACACACACAAACATACATACACACTTCCGCGTCCTCATACGTTGAAATAGACCTTTGGTTCCTGCTTTCGTTCGTTGGCCGGCCCGCCAGAATATTAAAAAAGGAATAAAATCAGCATATCATGTTCATTTTCAGGAGCGGCGAAGCATGCAAGGACATACGCACGAGCACACACACACGTACATATACACTCCCAGGGAATGGCAACATTTGCATAAGCATTGGTCTGGGCACAGAGTCCTGGGCACATGGTCCTGGGCATGAGCAAGTAAGGCACTGCGCATGAGCGCGTTGCTTGCTTTTATTTAAATGAGCCAGCCAGCCAGCCAGACATACATACGTGCATGTGTATGTTATGTCCTGATAAATGACAGTCTCGTATGCTGACAGTGACTGACATGCTCGTACTAGTAGCTAGGGTCCGGGACGTGGGAAATAATGCAAGTGTTGGCATAACGGTCCGAAATTAAATATGTTCCTCTGCAATCAAATGTTGATGGGCATAATCAAAAACCAAAAATATAAATAATGCATGCATTTTTTTCAGTACTTTGTTGCGCCTTGACACTCATAAAGGATTAGATGCAGCTACAAATCGGGATATTAGTTGAAATCAAGATTTGTCGATACAAAGTAAGAAACATTTGTTACACTCCCTAATTTCCAGACCCAAGCAGGCAATATTGGTGTTGGCTTTTGTCAGAGAATACGTGAATCAAAAAGGGAGGCAGTACTTCGTCCTTAATATTAAGCTCCTTTTCAATTATGCTCAATTATAAGCCTAAACACGAAGCTAGTGTATTAAAATGGATAATGTTGGCATTATCATAAACGGTTTTGCTTTGAATTTTGTAGAAATTAATATTTTAATGTGTATTGAATATTATTTGAAAATGTTTTTCGATTTATTCGTTGATTATAGAATAGTTATAAGAATATTTTTTACTCTCAGTTTCCCATCACCTTATGACAGTTTTCAACTTAAGAAAGTGCGTTCGCACAAGGTTTTTGAAATGTTTATGATATTGGAAATTGCTTGAAAACTGTCAGTGCACATAAAGTCTCTGTAAAATTTGCATCCAAGCTGGAGGAGATTTTTCTTTTCAGTCAGCTGCGCTCCCAGTCCAGAAGTAGTTTTTAAGAGCTTCTCTATAACTCCACCTAAGTTTTGCCTAAGCTCTGCCCCACCTCAGCTAAGATACCACCAATAGAAAACTAACCATTTCTACAGCTAGCATTGTACAGCTTTTCTTCACAATACAAACAGTACGGATGAGCAGCTCGACTGAACTTCAAGCTTGTTTAGTAATCAATAAGTAGAGACGTAACTACTCAGTAGTAAGTTCTACCTATTATAATTAGCGATAGTCTTAGACTCCTGCGCATGCGTCATCTTCACATCAGGCTCTTCGCCTGCATCTTTACCTTCGCCTCAGGCAGCAGCTGCCTTTGGTAATGACTGAGCACAAGACAAAAACCCGCCAACGAAAAATGATGCAAAATTATTTACAGACCCATCAATACACACACACACACATATGTTTATTATAGAATCACACTCACATCCACGTATTTGTAAGTACAACACGAGCCGGAGAATAGCAAAATCAATTGAAAATCTTTAGCCCAAAATAATATTTCAGAATGCGCAAGAGGGGGACGCACATGGCCAGACGTAAAGTAATGCGGAAGAAAAACAAAAAACAATGCCAGGCAGCCAGGCTGGGCTAGAGAGGGCAGATCCTGCAGCCAGGCAGTTGCATCTTGTGCATCTGCGCCTGCGCCTGCGCCTACAACTGCAACCCCCCCTGGCAGTGACTGCCGATCTGTTTGCCTAGGCAGTACATACCAATACTCGCACAAACAAACACACACACACGCACACACACACACACACACACGGTTCGTCCTCACGTGTCAGGATCAGAAAACGCTTGTGGGCGCCATAGCCATGAACATGAGCAATGAACAGTTAAGTTCTCCTATTTTCCTTTCTCATCACGACAGTCCGTTAGCAGTGAAAATTGTTGCTCTACACCGTTAGGTTTATTAATATTTGGCCCAAGTAATACGACACGCCCTAAAACGGCGCTTCCCCTGCTACATACATACATATGTATATATGCACCTTTCGATACACCTTCGATTTCTCGCCGTTGTTGTAGGAACGCGTATTTCTCGTATTTCGCATTTCTCATTTCTCGCCGCCGCTTGTCAAAAAATCAATTTCATTTGCCGTTATATGCTTTTTGAAAAATAATAAAAGGCTTAGGCATCAAGAATTGTTCATTCGTTCGGTTGTTCGTTTGTCGCACAATCGATCCGTCGATCCGTCGAACCGTCGATCGATCGTTGCCTTCTGTGCGTGCGTCCTTCTGTTCTTGTATTTGGTTACAAAAGAATCCTGACGCATTGGGTGCCATTCCCTTTGATTTTCTGTAAGCTGTACAGTTATGTATGTACATACATATGTACATGTAGGTTCATGCCCCCTGCCCTGCTCGTGTCACTCTCTTGAATATTCATAAATCATTGTAATAACTCATTATTATCGCTCGATCGTACGTTTGTTCGTTTGTTCGTTCGTTCGTTCGTTCGTTGTTCTGCTCCACACTCCATATCCATATACGTTCAGTTAGCGTGTGCGCATGCGCATGCTGCTCGTTGGCTTTCGGCTCGCTTATTGTATTCTCTCCTTTTTTTACTTACTTGCGCACCCGCTATATCAACTGTTATGTCGAGCAGTTGTCGCCTGGGCGTATTACATTACCGGCCAGATGCTCAGCCGGCTGCTTCAACTCCTTTTCGCAACTTGTGCTCAACACGCACGCACTCTCTGCGGTAGCTCAAGTTTTCTTTGGCTCGTTGGCAGAGAAAACTGGATAGGTGCCTTGGGTGCTAACCCTCTGATATGCACAAGTCGAGCCTTTACAATGGCATTAATTTGCATATCTGCCTGTGTTAGTCCCAAGTTTTCAAATTATTTCGAGCTCAGTTATTTGTACTCCAACTGTCGCAACAGAGGAAATTGAAATAGGATTCTATTTGTAGAGCTTAGCTTTTACTCTCCACCTCAGTCAGAAACAAGTGAAGTGAGTTATTGAGTGAGTTAGAATTATATTTGTAGAATTTATTTCGTGGGATTTTTACACATTTTACGATATAAACCAAACACATACTAACATCCATTTTTAGTACAAACAGCATTTTGAAAAGCATTTCCAATATTTAATATTGGAAATCAATACATTTTCTATACTAAGAAAGAACTAACACGTTTTTTTTATTTATAGTATGCCCATTAATTATATCTGTTTATACTTCTATAATAAACCCTAGTTAATACATATGTACATATTAGCCTTTAAAATAATCTATATTTCGTTTTTCAAAAACCCATGCTAATACCACTAACTTATAAAGTTGTTGAAAAAAAGAATTTATAATTAACACTTAATGAAAATTGGCCACAAAACATTACTTAGAAGTGTATTTTCTGTTTTCTAAGAAACATACATGGTTTCAAAAACTGCTAGAGCATTGCTATTTGGAAATATATACAAGTATAGTCCAGTTGGGTTGGGGATTTACCTAAATATTGCTTACAGTGCCGGCAATTTACAGAAAATTGTAATAAATCTATAGCTATGCGGAAAAATGCGTTTACTGATGCCCCCAAAAATTATTAAAATAACTTCATTTAATTTTGTATTTACTTTAATTTTAGAGTCCTATATTGGCCTTCCTTTTCCCCAAAAAAGTACAGAGTAGTTGGCCGGAATGGCAATCCAATTTTCTCCCACCGGCTTAGAGATTTTCCTTATTCTCTTTTTATTCCTTTTTCCCTTTTTCTGCCTTTCTTCATCTAAATAGCTCTTAAGCTATCTCCTGTACTATCTTTTTTTTAGTTGTTTAGGTCTATAATGTCTCGGACAACATATGGCTATGAATCGGGGCATAGCTGGCCAAATGGCGGCATTAATAGACACCATAATATTCTTATTTTTAAGGATTTC